TTTTGGCATTCTCGGTATTTTTAGGTACCTCATCTTAGTTTCGTTTCACATTAACTCTGTGAAATAGGCATCACCACCACCCATTTTAGAGATGAGACAACGGATGTTCAGTAACTTAACCCAAGTTCTTCAACTGTAGATGGGATCACTAAGCTCTAGAAGCTATGGTCTTTCCAGCATCCCAAGCTCCCTGGACCCTCCGTCTTCCTGGACATAAAGAAGGCCTCCTTACAGGTTGAGTATCCCTCATTCAAAATGCTTGGAACCAGAAGTGTTTTAGATTTCAATTCTTCTAAGATTTTGGAATATCTGCATTATGCTTAATGGTTGCGGATCCCAAATCTAAAATGCTCCAGTGAGCATTTCCTTTGCTCATTATGTTGGCATTCAGAAGGTTTCAGATTTCAGAGCATTTGAGATTTTGGATTTTTGGATTAGGGATGTTCAACCTATCTGAAGTACTGGGCCAGAGTCTTCAGTTGAAAAAGAAAATTAAGGCTCGGCGCCTATAGCTCAACCGGCTAAGGCGCCAGCCATGTACACCTAAGGTGACGGGTTTGAATCCCCAGCCCAGACCCACCAAACAACAATGACGGCTGCAACCAAAAAATAGCCGGGCGTTGTGGCGGGCGCCTGTGGTCCCAGCTACTTGGGAGGCGGAGGCAGGAGACTCGCTTGAGCCCAGGAGTTGGAGGTTGCTGTGAGCTGTAATGCCAGGGCACTCTACCCAGGGGGACAGCTTGAGGCTCTGTCTCAAAAAAAAAAGAAAAAAAAAATTAATCAGCACCCGGCTGGGCTTTCTGTGGAACTTATAGTGCAGGGTTAGACCCTGGCAGAGATATGGAGGTGAAGAGAATTGACATTTATTGAGCAGCTTACAGTGTGCCTGAAATTGCGCTAGCCACTTGTATACTTACTGTCTCATTTGTCCAGCCCAGAAGAGGCAGATGCTGTTTCCCTAGTTAGTAGCCAAGACCACAGAGATGATAAGAGGCCAAGCTGGCCTTTGAACACAGGCCTGCCTCACTCCTCTGTCTCTCCTTGCTCTCTACAAAACAGCTTTTCCTTAGGCCAAACTCAGCCAGTGGGTAGCTGTCAGAATTCCCCTTAGAGGCCTGGGATCCATGGCAGCCAGGGAATCTCTGGCAAAGCAGGATTCAAGGACAGGATTGCTCCCCTAGAAAAATTCAAGTATTGGAGCAGCTATGGTGGACCCCTGTGTAGTCTCACTGGTGTGGGGACTTGTGCTGATGGGGGGAGGGGGTGCCCAGCCACAGCCACTGGCAACTGAGGACTTGGGAAGGCAGACGCTGCAGAAGAGCCTGTGTAGCCGCTGTCTCTCCCACAGGGATGGTGCAGGAGGTGACTAGCCTGGCATTTGGGGGCTCCATGCTCATGAGTTTATGGCATGCGGAAGAAGCAGGGTACTGGGGAGGACCAGCCCTCCTGGGGAAGTCAGAGAGGCCTACCTGGTTTGGATCATAGCTTGGCCACTTCCTGGCTGTGTGACCTTAGGTACGATTCTTACCTTCTCTGAGCCTTAGTTTCATCATCTATTAAATGGGTTTGGCAATACCCATCTGGTGAGGGTAATGAGATCATGTATCTGTAGTGCCTAACACTGTCCCTGGCATGGAGTAGACACATACACTCCCAACTCCTTCCACTAAGCAAGACCTCTAAGATCCATTTGAGAATTCTAGAAGGTTTGTGCTTTCTGGGTCCTGCAGTCCCCAGGGCCCTAGGAATCAATTCTTCCATGTACATTCATGCAAGCATTTCCAGGAGACACTGCTACACACTAGCTGGGAACATGGGGGACCCAGGGTGTGGAACCCCTCAAGAGCCTCAAATAGGCCAGACTAACAAGCTCCCAAGTCAGGAGCCATCGGCCTCCTGCCAGGCTTTGCCAGGTCTCTTAGCTGTAAAGGTTCCAGGCAGAAGCATAGTCATTGGCCCTGGGGTAGTGGGGGCCTGAGGGGTAGCATCCAGCCTTTCTGGAAGGAGCTTTGTAGCCTGGCACCTGTGGCTGGAGTTCAGATGTTACCAGAGGATTTGGGTTTTCTTTTTAAAAAGAAGAAAAAAGAAAGAGCAGAAGAAAACCATGCCAGTGTCTCATGGACTAAGGGGAGTAGGTTGGGGCTCGCTAGGGAGAGGCAGGCTGCGGTCAGCCCGCATGTGAAGCGCTTTATAAGCTCTGTATTTATTATTTCTTGCTCACCATTAAAATCAAATGTACTCGGTGCTTTTGTATTCAATACACATTTAACCCTGCCGACTTAGATTTCTCAGGTTTTAAATCCAGTGGGGAATTGGCTGGCTTCCCAACTTTCCCCTCCAGTCCCCCCTGAACAGAGCTGGAAATCCCTGCTTAGCATTTTCTCCCCTGGCACTGCCGGGATCCTAACACTGGGGGGGCCCCATCACTGTGCTGTGTGCGTGTGGTTTTTCCCTCCATTCCCCAGCCCCCGCCCTGCCTAAGCACCCCAGAAAGACGGGTGTGATCGCTGAAATATGACGGGAGTTGTCTGTGTTGTTTTATGCTTCAGGTTTAATTAAACCATTTTGACTGTGTGTGTCTGTGCCTGGTTGTGGTCGGCCGGCATGCGTGCATGTGTGTGTGAATGCGTGCGTGTGTGTGTGTGCGTGTGCGTGTGTGTGTGTGTGTGTGATCCACACATGTACTTTTACCTCTCGTGCATGCCTGAGCGTATATTTGTGAGATGATGTGTACACTGGAGTCGACAGGCCTCCATGTGTCTCTGGATGATCGTGTGTGTGAGTACACTTTTGTGTCTGGCTTTGTCCATGGCAGTCGGGTGTGCGTGACTCCAGGCGTGTCTGTCCCCGAGCGGGGGACTGACCATCCTGGGTCTGCCATGTCTCCCTCTCCCCCCCCACCCCCGCTCTGTTTTACCATCCCTAATGAAGCAGTCTCCTCCATCGATCCTACTGATTGCCAACCCATTCCTTTTGTTTGTTGGCGCTGAGCCATTCAGCGGCACTCTGACAGCTCAGCTCGTCTAATTAGCTCTGTTGTTCTTTTTCCCCATGTTTCACCACGTTGCAAGTTCAGTTGAAGTTGCCACAAACTTAATCCCCCCATTTCAGCCACAAGTTCACATTCTTAACCCGCCTTTATTGTAGCAAGCAGCAGCCCTGTGCAAGGACGAGCTGACAGGCCTTAAAGTCTGACCTTTCCTGAAAGCTCTGCCCCTGGACTCCTGGGGGGCAGAGGCAGAGGTGCCCCTCCACCCCACCCACACTGCTGCCTGGTGATGAGAAGTTGGGGACTGTCCTAGCCAGGCGACCTGTTTACTAGCCCCAGAGCTATCTGTCCATGGCTGGGGAAACCAGAGAGAGAATGACCGGCAGATACATCCATTCATTTGTTTATTCAGCAAATATTGACTAAATATTTGCCGTGTGGCAAGCACAGTTCTAATAATTGATAAAAATAGTGACATCATTATACACTTCTGAGAGTCCAAGTGCTAGTGTCCATTTGATTCTAAAAATCTTGCCAAGGGCCCACTCACTGTGCAGAGAATTCTAACACTGATCTTCTAATTTAGACGTTGTGTCCCCCTCATCTTCCTTTCGTTGTTGATAAGAAGGGAACATCCACGGCACGGAGAAGCAGGATGAGCTTTGAGGCCTCACTACGAACCAGCCCTGTGCTGGGGCCTTCCCTGCATCTGGTTGCTGAATCTTCCCAATAAACCCACAGAAGGAGACAGCAAGTTTGGTGGAATGCATTTGGCTTTTACCACATCTCTGCTTTGCCAAACAAGGCTGAGATCAGACTGGCCACTCCACAGGAAAACTTTGGTTACAGCAGACATGCACAGACCTGAGGGTGTGATGAGACTCTATAAAGACATGTCTTTTATGCAGCCAGCTTCTGTAATCTGTGTTCCTAAACCATTGTGCAGTGTCGCCCACAAATCCCCGAGGGTGGCAGCGAAGATGTTTGGAGGTGAAAGGGCAGGCAGGAAGTGAAGTGTGTACTGCTCTCCTTCCCTGTCTTGTCCTCAAAACTCAGCAATTGTGGCATCTCATCTGCAGAGAAATGTTCAGAGCCTGTACCAGGATGCTCAGTCGTTTTGATTGGCAATGAAATTCAGAGATAGACTTTCTTAGCTTAGCTCGGCTCTCAGCCTATGCCTCTCAGGCATTGGAAATGTTCAGAGACGACTGTGCCACACTTAAAGGCGTGTAATGTTGATTGGACCAAATGAGTATCCTTCTAAGGGCACCTAGAAATTCTCAGCCTAACACCCATTGGGGGCTCTGGTGGGGGAAGGGGCGTCTTTCTCTGGGAGTCCTGGTCTTGGCTTTCAGAGATGGTGTATCAGAAAAAACTATCCTGTCACTGCAATACCAGCTGTGGGACTAGGAAGCTATACACTTGCTAACTTGCCCATTGCTGATCCTGGAACCTGGTCTGTGTGGTAAATATAGGTTTCAGCATCCAGGCAGGGCCTGCTGGGAGGTCCAGCACACAAGGATGCCCTCAGAAGCAAAAAGATGGTCCGTCTTGGCCCTCCCCAATCCCTCTCTTATTTAGAGAAGAGAATAAGCATCCTATAATTCAGTTATAAAAACTAAGTATGTATACCCCCAAAATAAGTCAAAGTGAAACCTTTTTGTTCTACAAAACTATTCCAGAGAAGAGCAAAAGAGAATCTGTTATTAACCTGAGCCTCTTTGTCCCGGGTCCTGAGTACACATCATCTCATTGGACCTGCAAAGAGCACCCCCACCCCCCGCCCACAGCTGAGGAAACCAAGCCCTTCAGGAGGACCTTTCTGATTGGCACTGGCCACAGAGTTCCAATTAGTGTATCTATCTGCTGCACATTAAATGGTGATGTTTCCATGACTCGCCATTGAAAATTCCTAAGCATTTCTTTTGTGGCTGCTCATCCACATCTTCAGAATGTCTTTGTGTGGCTTTTCCAACTCACTCTTCCTGCTTTCCCCTTCTGCTCCTTCTAGGTGCGCCCGCCCCGTCCACATGTTGTTAAGAGACCAAAGAGCAACATCTCAGTGGAAGGCCGGAGGACATCTGTGTCAAGCCCTGAACAGTGAGTACCCCATTGCTCCTCTGCTCTCTGTCCGCAAGAACCCAGCGGGGCCAAGCTTTGAGAGGTCTGTGCAGCCCCGGCTTTGAGAGGTTTCCCTGGAGCACCAAGCAGGTGTTTCGGGGAGCAGGGCTTGATCCTTTACTAGTTCTGGTTGTCATATCAGCAGGAGGTGCCAGAAGGCAGGGAGCTGGGCGCTGCCTGGGCTGGGTTTTATAGTGAGGCCCAGAGGGTAACTATGATGTGTTCAGAAGACTGTCCCAGGCCTCTTATGCTGAAGATGTCAAGTTAGCAGAGAGGGTTAGGAATCTGGTCAAAAAAGCCAGTTTAATAGGGAGCCACCACCTTCCTAGCCCCAGGTCTCTGTGGCTCAGATTTATACACAAGACTGTTCTTAGCCACTGCCCCACCCCTACCAAGACCCTTTGCCAACCTGTGCCATAGCTTTGATGTTACTAAGATTTTTCTTAATCTACCTCCCCCAGTCTTAGAGCCCTTGCGGGACAGGCCCTGGGAGTTGTGCCCAGTACCTCCCAGAGGACCAGCTTAGCATCACTTGCTGAGGAGCTATGGGTAGAGGAGGTGAATGTGCCAGGCAGACAGACACACAGTGGCCAGAGCTGGAGCCACCTGCATGGGCTAAGGCTGAAAGCCGCCGACAGTGCTGCTCCAGAGCCGGCTGGAGAAGGCAGCGTTGCTTCCCTTTGTCCCCAAAGCACATGGCCCTTGGTCTCTGCCCAGACAATTCAGCAGCTACATGCTGGCTTACTGTGATGCCTTGAAAAAGTGCATGAATTCTTCTTGGCCTAAAGTCATTGGGGGAATCAGAAAAATTGGCCCTGAAGTCCTTTTTGTGGCAAGGGGAACCCCTCACATCTGGCTTGCTTTCAGAAGCTTTCTCAGGGAAAGAAGTTAAGGGAGGTGGCAGGTCCTAGCAAGAACCAGAGTCAAAAGGAAAAAACAGTTCTGAAACATGAAGCCATGGCCTCACCCGGTTGTGGCCTATGCTGCAGCTGTCCCAGGGCTCCGAGCTCTACAGCACAGGCACCGCTTGAGCCACCGTGTCTTTATGGAAACAGCCTACCCCACAGCCCTCAGAGTTTGCCCAGAAAGCACTGGATTGTATGTGTGTATGTGTGTGTGTGTGCGCGCGCACGCGTGCGTGCGTGCATGTAGATACTTGGTTATGAGGAATTTGGAGGGGAAGACTGAAGTTGGGTGTAGGTTTAACTTTTGCTCTGCACAATAGGCTGGAGAGAACACAGACCGCTGGCCCTGGCCGCGGCTGGCGTGGATGATGATTGCCCCCTTGTGGAGAGAGTGTGCATGGCCTCAGTGCCTCAACCCTAAAGATTTCTCTGGAGAGGGATGAAATTAATTGCATTTCTTTAACATTGCCTCTTTAAAATTAAGCTAAACCTTTTAGACACTCTACTGGGATATAGGGTTATTGTAGACATTGAGACATGGATTCAGAATACCCTTGTACTGCACACTAACACCTCAGATCGACAACATTCCACATTTTACAAAAAAGCTAATTATCCATTTTGTGACCAAATTCCAGTTAAAGGTTGGACTTCCAGTGATGTGGATGACTGTCCACTGTGCCAAAAAACCAGTGTCTTATTTTCTTGGCTGTCACACACAATTCTAAATTGTGTTAAGAATCACTTTTAGAATGTTTTTTTCTTTAGTTGGTTTGTTTATTGTTTTGTTTTGTTTTGTTTTTGCAATATGTCCTGTTTTAGACTCTATTTGGGAAATATTTGGGGTTGAAATGAACCAGTGGGAGCACGGGGCCTAGTTTGGTGGGTTGGCAGACTAACAGTGATAAAAAAACAAATGACAGGTTTGCTGTGACCATGCATCACAGCAGCTCAGGCCCCTGAGGAGAGAGAGGGGTACGTTCAGGACATCATTCCGGGGGGGGGGGTTTTCACAATTTTTAACGAGGAGGAGGGAGCCTTTTCTCTCATAATGCCAGTGGCGTTTCTGGTGCAAGCTGGGTGTTTTCCTGCATCTCTTCCCATGCCTCCTCCCCACCCCCCCACGGTGCTCCTCCACTTCCAAATGCCATGTCACAACAGCTCTTGGATGTGTTTTTCTCAACTGTCATCAGCTCCAGCTGGCAAGACCAACTTCTTGAAACACAGGAAGCATCCAGCGGAAAATATTTTAATAAAACAGACTCCTCATAAAATATTGTTCTGGGGGGTAGGGGGAGGAAACGGGCTCCGCCAATCTGTCGGCATTGTGTTGTGAGACGTGAGAAGACAAGCCGGCGGGCAGGAGCCGGATCCTAACGGGCCTGTGTTGGAGGTGGCTCTGTGGTGGGCACACAGACTCAGCGCCTGGCCCTTTAATCTGGCCTGGGTTTTCTTGAATCACAGATCTTCGTCTCCGCTGGGAATATCAAAGTGCTTCGGAAGCTTAGAGGATTTGGGCGGCAGAAAGGGATGCTGGATCTTTGAAGTTGAGGGGAGAGATTCAGTCCTCCTGACTTCTTGCCCCAACTCTCACTGCCAATAGCACATTAAATAACTAACTTTGTGGACAGCAAGATGGAGCTGATTAAGTTTGTCTCCTGCAATAGCCAAGCACCCTGGGATTCCTCAAGGCCCAAAGGCCTTGGCCATCAGCTCTCTGGCCAGTCCACCATTAAAGTTCATGTCTTCCTTTCCAGCTGATTTCTGTCCGTCCATTGCTCCATCTGTCCATTCGCACATCCATTCATTCTGCAGACACATCTTTGAAAACTTAACTAGGTGCAAGCTACATAGGATGTTTTGTTTTATTTTGTTTTGAGACAGAGCCTCACTGTGTCATCCTCAGTAGAGTGCCGTTGGCGTCACAGCTCAGAGCAACCCAAACACTTGAGCTTAAGTGATTCTCTTGCCTCAGCCTCCCAAGTAGCTGGGACTACAGGCGCCTGCCACAATGCCCGGCAGTTTTTTGTTGTTGTTGTGGTTGTCATTGTTGGTTAGCTGGCCCTGACTGGGTTTGAACCCGCCAGCCTCCTGTATGTGGCCAGTGCCATAACCACTGTGCTATAGGCGCCAAGCCTACATAGGACTTTTAAAAGGAGGTCTTACAAGCAAGTTTCCATAAGACTCTTTGAGTACTTGCATTGTCCCAGAATGAAATTTTCCTGTGTCAGATTTTCTTCCTGAATCAAGGATAGGTTTCCCAGCTCCTCAAAACCATCTGTTGGCAATTGGAAGAACTCTTCAGAAAGGTTCGGAAACCGAGGGAAACATTCCCTCTGTTTTTCAGTTAACACTAATTGGTTAGTATTTAGTTAATATTTATATTCAAGAAGTGTAATATTAACTACTTCCATCATTACTCAGAGCAAAGCTGATGGAATGCCTGTGAGCTTCCTTAGGGTAGAGTTAGGGGTAGGAAGCTGGGGCTGAGAGGCCAGTCAGCAGGAAGTGCAATGGGGCACCTCTGATGTTGGGGCCAGCATGTTTCTCCCCCACTCTCCCAGAATGAGAACTCAGGCTCAGAAAATGTATCTGACTCACATACCCAAGGTCATCGGGTTAGAAAGTGGCAGGGCCAGGATTCAGAATTCTGCTTGATTTCCTTCTTTCTGTTATACTCTGCTGTTCTCCTTGGGATGGGGCCCAGGGCATCCATTTTTAGTCTAGTTTTGCTCAGACAGATAGGATCTCCGTGTCCTAAGATGACTTGCCCGGCACACCACCCTTCCTCTCTGGTTCTTTCGAGGCTAGAGTTGGATGTAGAAACTAAGACTCAAAAGAGAAACTTTCAGTGACTTGTTAGGTCTTAGAGCCAGAAAATGGTTGAGATGGCGGCTATCTGAAAACAGAGGCCTAGTCCTTTCTTCTTTACCATCCAAGCTTTTGTTAAGAACCTAATCATGAGGACAGTAGCTGCTGTAGTGGGCACAGTGAGGGTCACAGCTCCCACCTATTCAAGGCGAGCCAGAATGTGCACAGCAGCCAGGCCTCAAGCCACTTTCCTTTTGGCTGACCGGTGAATTTCCCATCTAACTTGAATGGCAGCAAGAGCCAATCGCAGCTCTGAAAGGCAGTGCTGCTATCAGCTTTGCCCAGCCCCTTCAGGCCCACATACTGTGCCCCCCACCCCCGGGGGGGGGGGGAACAGGAGTATCCCCAGGGGCTTCTCCTTGCCCGGCAGCCATCATTCATTCCCTACTGGGAAGTGGCAGTAGGGCCTCATGGAGTTGCTGAGAGTATGGGAGAGATAATGTTATGCCTCTACCACCTATTGAATCTTCACAACCCAGATGTAGGGCTGTCTTCTGAGTTTCAGTGGTTAAGAGGCTTGCAGTTGGGCTCAGCTCCTGTAGCTCAAGTGGCTAAGGCGCCAGCCACATACACCAGAGCTGGCAGGTTGGAATCCAGCCCAGGCCTGCCAAACAACAATGACAACTACAACCAAAAAATACCCAGGTATTGTGGCGGGCGCCTGTGGTCCCAGCAGGAAGTGCAATGGGGCCCCTCTGATGTTGGGGCCAGCGTGCCTTGGGAGGCTGAGGCAAGATAATCACGTAAGCCCAGGAGTTGGAGGTTGCTGTGAGCTGTGATGCCATGGCACTCTACCAAGGGCAACAGCTTGAGGTTCTGTCTGAAAAAAAAGAAAAGAGGCTTGCAGTTGTGGTAGATCCGAGAGCAGCCCTGTCCTGACCAACTGCAGAGCAGAGCTCTTTTGACTGCACACCCTGTCTCCTAACGGGCAAGGCAGGCGTCATCCAGGCACATGAGGGTCTGGGTACATCCTGGTTATTTGAAGTCTCCTAGTACAAGTAATAGTGGTCCAGATTCAGCCCCCAGGACCACAGAGCTGTTGCCCTGTTGGCCCTCTCTGGCCAGATCCATGCAAAATCTGCTCTGGTCTTTTCAATTATTTGTTTGTAAAAATAGCCCAGTACCCTCATAGCCAATGTGGAAGTTAGGGAAAAGAGGCTCATTCTGAAGCCCACTGTAATTCAACTACTTCTTAGCATTTCT